AGATACGTTGCTGGTTAAACACACAGATACTCACAGACTAGTTTTCTTCAGTCAGACATAGTCCGTCTTCAGGAGATCAATCATCAAATAGCAGGAGCAGGAGCTCCAGGGCTTTCTGTCTACTTTTATGGCTGCCTGATAATAGCACAGCCAATCATTCTTCTTATATCATTTAAAGTCACAAACATAGTTTTTCTATATATTACCTACCCAACCGTAGGATAAATATCCAACATTCTCCCCTTTGGGTAGCTTAACATATTTACAATCTCAAACCATATTGTTCACATGTATCTTTATGTTTCCTACTTCCTTGTGCTTTCATGAAATGATCAGTCACATTGTCTTCCGATGCACAATATACAAGTTCTATCACCTTGTTTATTATACATTCTCTTACATTTAGATACCGAAGATCTGTATGTTTCGTTCTAGTTTTTACAGCTATATTCGTCGCCATTTGAATCGCTGCCTGATTATCTTCGTATACTGTTATAGGATCTCTTATATTTATTCCTATATCTAGCATCAGTTGCTTAATACTAATCAGATCAGTACATAATAAAGATAAACAAGAAAATTCTGCCTCTATTGTAGACGTACTCAAATGCTTCTGTCTAATTGAACGCCACCATATCAAAGACTTTTCCAGAAATATAGCGATTCCTGAGGTTGATTTCCTTGTATTCACATCTGTTGCGAAACTAGCATCTGCATAAGCAATTACGGGTAAATCTTCTGATGGTTGTAGATATAATGCATGATGCATGGTATATTTCAAATACCTTAGGATACGTTTTGCTCCCTGCCAGTGTCTTTCTGTAGGTTCCTTGTTAAACCTAGCCAATTGGTTAACACTATAAGAAATATCGGGCCTAGACCAATTGCTGATATATGATAAGCTGCCAACCAGCGATTGGTAAATCCCTTTATCAAACAACTGACTGTTTACATCAGTGTTACAATAGTCTTGAATTATAGGTGTCTTTGATGGTTTACATAACTCCATCCTCAATTGTTTTAATAAATTATTGATTTTATCAGTTTGGGATAATTTAAATCCTCCCCTGGTTTTTTCAATTCGTAAACCCAGGTATTGTTGTATCTCCCCTAGATTTTTAATTCTGAAATGAGTTTTTAATTGATCAACAATCCTGCTAGTCTCTTGTTCATTTTCTGTAATCAAAGCTATGTTGTCAGTAAAAAGAAGTAATAATGACCCTATCAACTTGCAAAGCTTTCAAGTTGCCATGAGCAGGAGGGAGGGAGGGTTTCTTTCGGAAACTTGACAGACACTTTACCATCCCTCTCCATTCTAAATAAACATGGATCTGCTAATCCTGCTTTGAATCCAATCTTCTCTAATGTTCTTACAATACACTGGTTCCATTCGTACCTGACTGTTTTAACCCATAAAGGCTTTTCCTTAATAACCAACAGTCAGATGTCCCATTCTCCTCTAATCCTGAGGGTCTCTTTAAATAGATTTCGTGCTGTAGTGGTGCATGTAGGTATGTAGTCTCTACGTCCAAATGATTAACTATATATATATATATCTAGCTGCCCATACCAACGCTGCTCCAGCATTGCTCCAGAACGCCTGGAGGAGTAATGTGTGTCGCAACTCCCTTATTGCTGTAACCGGTACATACAAACTGGGCCCATAACCAGTGTTGACGGTAAAACTTCCCTCTGCATAGTAGGCAACAGACTGGACAGCAAAGAGATACGTTGCTGGTTAAACACACAGATACTCACAGACTAGTTTTCTTCAGTCACACACAGTCCCCCTTCAGGAGATCAATCATCAAATAGCAGGAGCAGGAGCTCCTGGGCTTCCTGTCTACTTTTATGGCTGTCTGATAATAGCACAGCCAATCATTCTTCTTCTTCTTCTTCTTCTTCTTTTTTTTTTTTTTGCTTTAATTTATATGCCGCCCTTCTCCAGAGACTCAGGGTGGCTTACAATGCGTTAAGCAATAGCCTTCATACTTTTGTATATTTATACAAACTCAGCTTATTGCCCCCACAATCTGGGTCCTCATTTCACCTACCTTTGAAAGGATGGAAGGCTGAATCAACCTTGAGCCTGGTGAGATTTGAACTTGCAGTAATTGCAAGCAGCAGATGTTAATAACAGTGCTTTAGTCCACTGTACTACAGGCTCTTTCTTATACCATTTAAAGTCACAAACATAGTTTTTCTATATATTACGTGCCCAACTGTAGGATAAATATCCAATATATGATAAAAGGATCATACATCTGTTTTGGAGTCATTTGGGAAGAACATAAAAAATATTTTATCCAAATAGTAGTTTCACCATGTGTAGTTTTTGCTTACGTGATCCTAACTGATCTGATTTTAAAAGCCTGACTTTTTTTCCCAGTGCCATACAATAAACATTAATGCGAAATAACTTTCCTGCTAAAAAATTTCCTACTAAATTTCCTCACAACATTGCTGGAAATACACACTTTACATTGAGAACCTGTTCTATATTTTCAAAAGAAAGCTGACAGTGTTTCCATGTGCCTAGTAAATAGAATATAATGGGTCAAAAACATACACAGAAATAGCATGCCTCCCTTAGTTGGTTGGTTTCTATGAAAATCCTCTGAGCTATTGGAAAGGAAATCAGCACACCTGTTACTTACAAATTAGAAGGAACAGAGGTGAGAACAGAGAAATCATAATTCGTCACAATAAATCTTTTCACATCTCCAGGCTATATTACATTTGTCAGCATCTGTCATGCACCCCAAACTTGAAACTGTTTTATTCTGTGTTGCATAATCTCTTTCAAAATAAAAAGAATACATTTTGGTGCAAAGATGCTTGGCCAGCCATTTGTAAATTTTATTTACTTATAGTTATAGTGAAAATTCAGTTACTGAAAATTCAATTACACTAAAGAGATAGAAGCTAGATGGTTGGGCCAAAGGTACCTATCTACTTCTAAAACTCTGCTGTTTATCTTTTTGCCCTTTAATTGGGCAAAATGGTGTATCATAGGACAACAATTTTTGAATCAATGTACCTGAAATGGTACATTAGCCTGAAATGGGTTAACTTAAAGAAGGGATCCAAAATCCAGGACCAATTTCTCCCATGGGATTAAACTTTGGCAAATTTCAGCACAGCCACACTGCCATGCCACTAAGCTACCAGCCAGTTATAGTCACATGGTCATCATTTCTAATATTCCCTGCCAGCTTTCTACAAAAAAGTTTCCTGCTGGGAAGCCAGCAGGAACTTGCTCCCAGTCCCACTGCTTTTTTGTCCACTCATGGTTATTCTGTTTAGGAAATACCGCTGAAACAATAACCCAACAAGTCATGGGTTATCTAGTTTCATTTTAAATGGGATATTAGTCCTTTGAAAAAATGTTCTTAAATGTTCTTGTAATAAACTGTAGTCTGGTAATAAAGGAATCCAATGGTACTCTTTACTTTATAATCCCAAATATTATTTATAATAAATAAAGATATAGACTTAATATAAGCTTTTGATCTTCTTAAGGGCATAACCGATGTTTTCCTTTTCAAAGTCTGAGTATTCTTTGAAAGCTAAATGCAAAGGTTCAATTTTAAGGGCTATCATTCTCAATTGTCCTTGAAATCAGGGAATATGTCATCCATAATATCTAGAAAGTGATACTAAACTGATACTAAACTGCAGTGATGATGTTACCTAGTATGGTAATGAAATGTCTGCAAGAAAATAACCAAACCCAGAGAGCACCAAGGACCCCACAGTTCAACCCTAAGCTACAAATTTTCTTTTCTGTCAGTGATATTAAACTTGTGAGGGGATAGAAGTATAGCAAGGAATCCCTTCTAGCAGATTCTGATTGTATCATGGTGGTGGGATTAATAATGATATTCAACACATCCATAAAAGGCACTTGTCCATTTGCTACATACTATCACTGAATAAAATTAATAACTCCATTTATGTTAAAATGTGTACAAGTCTTAATTCTCAAATCTGTATTCTTTTTAAAGCTAGGTAGTATGATTGAATTAAATGACCTATTTTCCTGAAAAGCCAAGTATGCCCTTGACAATCAATCAAATGAGGCATACTATATTCTCTGATTTTTGGCAATGCATTATATAACTAAATTTGTGAATTCATTGAGCTGTATCACATGAATTATGATTACTATGGCATATACTTGCAGAATCCTATCTTTGTAATATTGAACCTCTCTGCTGCCTTAGCAATTTTCTCCAGGTTAAATTAATTTAAAAACTGTTTCTACAGCTTCCTTATCTTTTGTAGTCCCAACCATCCTACAACCAATGTTTTCCTGAAAACAAAAATCACCTTGGGGCTGTTGTTTATTTATATATCACTCTTTGATATTGTTCTGCCCCATCCCAGTTCCATGGGCCAATAGTTTATGGCTAGTGTATGATACACGTTCCTTCCACACAATCATCTGCTCCAATTCTGTGGAATTTCAAACCTTTCTTGACATGTTGATACAATGCTTATGAGGAAAGAAATATATAAGGAATAAATATATAGCAAGTCATTCCACCTGAGGCAAAAAGGTATAGCAAATCATTGATATGTTCTACTTCTGTGTTATTGTTTGTTTGCTTTACTTCAGCCATAGTTACTGCAAATTCTGTTACTTAGATATATATTACTTTATTGACAATGACATTGAAGTTAATGTTTGTTGAGTGTAGAGAATAATGTGCAGCTTTTCATTCCTTTGAAAGGTTCCAGTATTGTACAGGGCTAAGAATTTCATTCAATTTTGTATACATAGTAATATAGCAAGATTTACAAGAGAATTGATATGAACCACAATATATCCAATATCCTGGAAGAGCTTCTGGTAATGCATTTCTAAGTGGCTTTGTGTAAATACAGGATTTTGATTTATTGAGTTCTGTGATAAAGCCGAATGCTTTCAATAATGATAATTGCACAATCTTCAACACACATGGATTCAGGATTTCCTGAAAGTTATAAAATTTTACCTGCAAATCCTTAGGGAAGAACTAGTGTAGCAGATGCTTTTTCATTAGAAGGTCCACACTCAATCCACAATGTTTCCAGACAGAATAAGAAAAGAATCTGTCTGAAAGCTGCACAAGATAGATTGGTTATAGTATGGGTCTGTTTCACTAAAAAGCAATTTCTTGTGGTTATCTGATACACTTGTCTTCTGACATTATATATCCATCAACTTTAGCTAATTTTGAAGAAAGTCTGTTTGATTAATTCAGTTGTGTTCCACAGCTGGATTATAAAAACGTTTTTAAAAAAACTTAATCTTATCAAAACTTGAAATCATGATTTAGATATGTTACAACTATTTTAAACCCCTGAATCTTGTCTTTAGTCTGGTACAGAGGTATTTTTGTTTAAAGTATTCTCAGAAGACCAAGTCAATTAGAATTTCATATAAATAAGTAGTATGCACACACCTGTAAAGCAGTCAGTGTAAAGATTATTCTTAAACAGTGGTCTAAGTCTCAAACTTTCAGATTCAAAAAGTGCTTTAAAATGAACAACTCCTTGCACTATCTATTAAAAATAACAGTGCAGCAATTCTACCTTTCTCTCCTTACACATTTTCTACCATAAGGAAAAATTAGAAGAATTGGGAAACAATTGTTGCAACTCATTGTGACATCTAAAATATTGTAAAAAAAAAATCTCTGAGATAATTGCTTACTAAAAGCAACATCTAAAAAGTACCAAAAAGGTGAAGAGATTCAACTGCATGCTACACTATAACTTAATAGCTATTATTAGAACTTGAGACTGTCACTCAGTCTCTTCTTTGTCTATGGCTATCAAAAACAAAAGAAAAAATACTATAGCAGTAAAATAAGGAAGACATTATGATGGGAAGAAGAGAGGGAAATTCTACCTAAGTTACGGTAATGGGTAATGTAGAATTAATTCCCCCCTCCTGCCTTTTTTTAACAAGTCCTTTCTATTTTCACTTCTCAATTCAGACAATTGTTGGAAATGAACCATATTACAAACTAAAGTGAAACTCCTAGCATAAATGAATCACAAAGGAAAATGTGATTGCTTCAGTTCTTTAAAACCACGTATTGCCACATATGTAGTGCTCTATGTGTTGTTCCTTACAGCATTAAGGGACAGGTTCCTAGGATGGCATATCCTATTGGCCTGCTATGCCCCCTCCATCATCCCAGTCCCCTTATCTCCCTCTTCCCTCAGCCTGTACTGCTACTGCCAATATTCACACAAACTGTTGCCAAGGTAGTTCCCTGCTTTTTCCCATACCCCCCAAACCCTAGAACAAGCAGATTTCAATTAACAGTCATCAAAATACAGCTTTGTTTCACTCTTGGGGCACAGATCACCCAAAATTAACAGTTCTGTGCCAGAAACAGTTTGTGTATAGAATATTCTGCATAATGCCACCCAGTATCCTAAAAATTGGGTGCCTGGGAAGCATCAAACACCTGGAAAGCCACAGGTTTCTCACCAAATTAACTATTTACAAGATATTTAAATATTTTTGTGGATGTATATTTGTTGCATTTACAAAAGGAGGGGAGAGAGTAAAACTAGAGAGGCTAAAGTGGAAAGCAAAACTGTGAAACTTAGTCATAATATCTGGCTCACCTTTGATGGCAATTGTTTGGTGTTTCTTGCCAGCTGGCATTATGCTGGCACAGCAGCAAAGCTAGAGACTAAAACCAACAATGTCTGGTACACCTGCAGAATGAGAAAATGGGGTTCTGTCACTTACAGGAGAGGTATTGTGGGATTGGCAATGCAAAGAACCTCCTCTATGATAGAATTACTTTAGGCCAACACAAGAAGAGTTGTAGTATATTGATCATAAGCACATTACTCATCAAAGCAAAAAACAAAACAAAACACCTTTGAGACTATGTTGGATTTCTTGCTTGTTCTTGTGAACAGAGAGCTTTGGATAACCAGTTATTTGCCAGACAGCATCTTATTCTGCATAGATATTTCTGAAGACACTATAGTTATGATGGCAAACATATGGCACGCCTGCCACAGGTGGCACGCGGAGCCATACCTTCTGGCACATGAGCCGTTGCCGTAGTTCAACTCCCATGTGTGCGCCAGCCAGCTGGTTTTCAGCTGGCCCCGCCCATGTCTCCCCTCCCAGGAGTCTCCATGTGGCCCGTTTTGGATATCAGGTAAGTACAGGGCTTGCGTGGAAACTCTGGGAGGGCGTTTTCGGTCTCTGGAGGAGATAGGGAAGCCATTTTCGCCCTCCCCAGCCTCCAGGAAACCTTCTGGAACCTGGGGAGGGCAAAAAGCGGGCCTTCCAGGCCCACCGGAAGTCGGGAAATGGGCCATTTCCAGCCTCCAGAGGGGTGGGGGTGGCCGTTTTTGCCCTCTGGAGGCTACAGGTAGGCCTGCTAGGCCCAAAACAGGGTGCAGGAGGGCGGACATGCACGGGGGGGGCGGGGGCGGGGTGCAGGGGGGCATTTAATTATAGGTGGGGGCAAGGGGGGGCAACCCCCCCCCCCCCGTTTTGGCACCCAATGGCAAAAAGGTTAGCTATCACTGCACTATAGCTATGCTAAAGCAGAACTTTTAAAATGTAAGTCAAGAGAGGCATCCTTTCCCACCCCCACCCCCTATGTATTTTATAGGTATTCTACCGAAAGAAATTCAACAGAGAATGATATTCTTATTGCTGTGGCAATTTAAAATTAGTAGCTTGCATGGAGGAACTGAAGAGCCCGATCCTTGTAGCTTTAGCAAGCCAGACAGCTCTCTGTTTTGCCGGCAAAAAAAACCCCAAACCCTGGTGTCACCTCCACCTCCACCTTATGCTACTTCTCTTTCTTCCGTCACCATCACACGTCCTTTCCTTCATTAGTAAGTCGACGGAAATAAGTGAGTGAGTGTGAGGAGGGTTTTCTGATGACTGGAGAATTTTTAAAACATTCTTCAACTTCCTTTGCTCGAAGAAGCCTGAGTAACGCTTTCCTGAGTATAGCCTCGGCTCGGCCTTCCCGCTTCCTGGAGGGGGAGGGGGGAGGGAATCTCCTCTACCCTCGGCTGGGCGGCGCTGAGCCGAAGAGGCGTCCCTACTACAGAACATTCCTGTGACGTCGCTCGCCTTATATGGACAGAGCCGCGCGGCTCCGGCGTTCATTCAGATAAATTGCCACTTCTCCGAAGCGGAATCCCCTGCTTGAATTCCGGGAGGGCGATGCGAAGGCAGGGAAGGCGAGACAGAGCAGGGTCGCGGCCAGGGTCGCGGCTTTAAGGAAGCGGGCTTGGGCGTCTCCCGGGTGTTGTTTCAAATAATCGCCCGCCTAGGCAACTAAGCGCCTTAGGGGCGACTCTCTGCGAGGCTGCTTCTGAGAAGGGGAAGGAAGGGAGCGAGAGACGGGCAGAGCAAGCCAAGATGAAGGTAACGGCTCTGGATTCTCGTCGACTCAAGCAACTGCTACGGAAGGATCCCGCCCTGTGCCTCGTCCTGGACTGCAGACCCTACTTCTCCTATTCGGCCTCTTGCCTCCGAGGGTCTCTCAACGTCAACCTCAACTCCGTGGTCATCCGCCGCTCCCACGGGCGGCCCGTGCCTTTACACTTCGTGGTGCCCGACGAAACGGCCCGGGGGCGGCTTCTGATCCCGCCGGCTGCTTGCTCGGAAGAAAGAGAAGAAGGAGACGCCGCGCCGCCTCGGACTTTGACGGCCGTGGTTGTCTTGGATCAAAACACCAGACACTGGCGGAAGCTCAAGAAAGAGAGCACGGCGCAGATCGTGCTGAACACGCTGTCTGCAAGCCTGCCCGAGGCTGGAGCCCGCGTCTGCTTCCTAAAAGGTGAGGCCGTCGAAGAGAATGAAGCGCTGCGGGCTGGGGGGGGGGAGAAGGAGGAGAGGGTAATGGGGGAACGGGACCGGCTCTGTTGGTCCTGGGAAGCGTTGCTGCAGGGAACTGGAAACGCGAATCTTGCTAAACCGGATCCCAAAGAGAGCTCCGTCTGGATGTCGCCCGTACCCGGCAGATTAAGTGAGCGGCTGCCAGAGCCCGACGGCGCTGCTAGCAATGAGCAGCCGCGGCCGCCTTGTTCTTAACGATACCTGTCCAGATGCTAGACTGGGTAGATTTCGCAGAACAAGTGAGAACCGGCCCGATCGTGTAAATGGCACGTGTTTTTTATTTATTTATTTATTTATTTATTTATTTATTTATTAATTAATTATCAAATTTATATACCGCCCTTCTCCCGAAGGACTCAGGGCGGTGCACAGCCAAAGTAAAAACATAAATACAAACATTAAAATACAGTTAAAAAGATATATATGCTTTTGGCCCCATGAGATCCATTGTGTGCTAAACGAGAAAGGAAGAGGAGGTTTCACGATTCTCTCTGTATTGAAAGGGATTGATCAATAGGTTCTCCTTTCAACAGATCCTCTTCTCCTGACTTTGCTGTAACTTTTTTTTTTCCCCTAACAAGCAAGGACAAAAAGTCCATTGGAAATCCTATTGGTCATAAATGCATGCAAAAAAGGAAAGGAGGGGGCAGAAGCAAAATCAATACATCGCCTACGCTCTTGTGTACATTTTTAGGTGACTAAGGAATCGAAGCTCACCTAGATCTGATCTTTTGGCCCAGCAAGAAAAAATATGCTCTTGTACTCTTAGGTGACTAATGAATCAAAGTCCAGATCTAACCTAAAAATATACACAAGATGTATTGGTTTTGCTACAAAAATTGAAACAGATTAATGATTTCACCATCCTCAAATGCCAGATCTAAAACACCATCCTGTCTTTTATTCTTGAGTTTATTTAAATATGCACTTGGCTCATACGTAAGTAGTATGATCATTTCATGAAAGTATTAATAGAAGAGATGGAAAGCAATCAGAAATATAAGAAAGCTTCTGCTTTTAAGTTAAAGGAACGCAGAATGTAGAAGTCAGCACTGCCTCCTATAGGGCAGATCCTTATCATTTGTGTATTCCAACATAATCAAACGTTTTTGTATGTAACAAAAATGGTAGCTTTCAGATAGCAGTAGCATAGTTCTTTTATTAGGAACAATTTAAATGTCTTAGTTGATCCCGTTAGAGGCATAATGATTACTGCTTTATATTATTTAAGTCAGAAAATATTTTGGCATCTTTTTTTTCTCAATGATATCAAACTATTGCAGGAAAATCTCTACACTGTATGCTAATTCAAATGGATGCTAAATTCTTTATGCTGGCATAAATATTTTATTTTTATTTTTAAGAAGACTCACGTCATGTAAAAGATTTTGAAATTTGATTCCTTTGATGGCTGGAAATGAGAAAATAAAGATTTTGTAGTTCAGGAATATTTCAGCACATACCTAACAAAGGAAATTTTTAATACGCTACGTACTAAAACATGTTACACTTTGGTTCTGACCTACTTATTAGCTGCGTTGTAGTTTAGTCTTTTAAATGGCAATCTCTTAGTCTTCCCGATTCCAAATCAAAAAGTAATTCTCGGAAGCTTTATCTCCTATATTCTTAGCATTCTATTTGATAGAGCAAGGCGATCTTAGAAAATGAATGTAAATATTACTCAGTGCTAACAGTTTTTCCTGTTTTAAGCTCATTTAAGCGTGAGATACCATGGTAGGAAATTCTCTGGGTGATTTTAGGCTGAATGCCATCCATGTTGATTATCCTGAAATAGAATGCCTATTATTGTTATAGACTGCATGTTATCTTCTAGAAACTGGCTACACTGATAAATTGTGTTTGAGTCATAAGCTGATGCTGTTCTTCTTATGTTTTTAGCTCAGTCTGAATGTTCACAATGAACTAATGGAAGAACCTTGAGGCTTATCCCAAGGGTTTTGTCTGTTTGTGGTGTGAGAGAGGATTCATTGTTGTGTGGAATCAATTTTCTAAGTGGGCCTAGACTCAAGGCAGTCTGTCAGGCATGAGTCAGAAAGCTTGTCAGCTAACGGCACCACAAATGCAATCCTGCTCTTCAGAGAATACTTTTACTGCTGAGTGACATAATCCTTGTCAACAGCCCCCCCCCCCAATATTTTTGAAAGCTTTCAGTATGTGTTATGTCACTTTCTCTGATCCACCACTCATAATAGGACCTTTTTTAAAAAAAAATTGTTCACTGATTTTAAAGTTTCAATTGAATCTAGCACTGAGATTAAGTGAACAGTCACAAAAATCTTTAAAATTTACTCCTTGATTACCTCATTGGCAAGACTATTTCCTTACATAGATAAATCATACATATTTCATTGGTAAAATGTTTTTTATTGAAAGAATATAAAATTAAACAATGATTGCTTTCCCTATTGGAAGCAATTATTTGCCATAAGAGAGACTGCGGGTTTTTGCCACTTTCCTGTGCCTAGAATTTTGATCTCTCACAGTGAAAAGAATCTCTCTTTTGCAAGATGAGCAATGCAGTATTTAGTGGAAATCATAGCATCAGAGCCCAGCCATCAGAGGAGTGTAGGCAGAGAAAGAGCTAGAGAGCTGGATGGAAAGGTGACTCATATTAAGAATAGTTGGCTAATCTCCTGATCCCCTGGTGCTTCTGGGTTACAGCTGATCTGTTGAGTTCTCGGATCTATCCAAGGAAAATGAGATAGCTTGGTTTTCTTTTCTATCCCTGAAACTAGCAATATAAACTTAACAACTGTGGCAAGAAATGGGGTTGTACAAATGGGGCAAAACTCATTTAACAAATTTCTCGCTTAGCAACAGAAATTTTGGTTTCAATGCTGGTCGTAAGTTGAGGACTACCTGTACAAGACGTTTCAGAAGATTAAAAATGAGGGAAATTAATTGAGGGGGAAACCATTTGGAGCAAAAGTGAGGAAAAGAGTTGGCGGCTTCCACTGATTATTTGGAGAATCATAGCATCCATTTTGATGGCAGAAAGACATAGAGCTGAAAATATGCAATAGTTTGATTTCCTTTTTCAACATTCTGAGCTATAACAATAAACATATTTATTTGTCCTTCCTTACTAGGCTCTTATGATATTTTAATTTTTAATTAGAGAAGAATTAAAAGATGAAAACACAATGTTTTATACTGCTTGAACTGAATATTATTTATAAAATCCCCTAAGTCCCCACACCACTTTTTCTTGACTTTTACTTAACTTCCTGTTTCCTCTGTATTTTATTAAATTTGTATTGAAAGTGTTTCAATATGTACCAACTCAAGGGATTTTGGGGAGTGAAGTTGTAAGATAGTAACTCTGAGTATGTTTCCTTAAGCAATGTGCCCTAATTAAAAGTGGGATTATCAGACATCAGATTTATACTAGCAAAATGGTGTGACTTCTCCTCCTGCCTCCACTTTGCTTTTTCTTAAAATTTAGTCCCAAGGCTTGAAGGTATAGAGCAGTATAGAGCATAGGTCTTCAAACTTGGCACTTTAAGACTTGTGGACTTCAACTCCAGACAGCTGGAGAATTCTGGGAGTTGAAGTCCACAAGTCTTAAAGCTGCCAAGTTTGAAGACCTCTGGTATAGAGGATTGTAGAGACATGTCCTCCTTTTCTCATTGTATCAGTGGAAATAATTCTTATAAATGAAAACGTAACAAAAACCCACTCTAATCATCATAGTTGAGGTTCTACACATGCTACCCAATATAACAATGAAAAAGAGTGCTTTGAGGCATACTTGATACACACATGTATTCTCTTTTCATCAGTACCCATGCTCTAAGTGGCATTTAGATGGATGTCAGTACCCATGCTATAAATTGCATCTTAGATGGACATCAGTGCCCATGCTCTTAAGTTGCATCTTTGATAGATATATTTAGTTTACATTAATTGTGTAGTAAATTTAGAAAATCTATTTTTGTACAGAAAAACTCACCTGGGGCTATTTAGATACCTAAGCCCATCACAGGGTTTCATTAACTTTTATGACTCTTAATGCATCCATTTAATTTGCCAAGGGGCAAAGGAATGGAAGTGTTTAATCAACGCACAGCAGCATTTCAATTTGCATTTTCTCAAATTAATAAAAGCATAAAAATGTCTGAAAGGAAATGTTTTGAAATGTCACATTTTATTTGCAGTTTTTCCTCTTCAATTCCCTAGCTCTAAATGTAGATTCCTGTTCTTTTGCTTTCTTTTCTCTGTTTTTTGTAATGGAAACTCTTAATGCAATAGGAAACAGGAAACAGGT